CCCCGGCACGGAGCTGCTGCATGAGGAGATGCAGGCGGGCAGGGGGAGAGGATGGAAGAGAAAGGGAGGGATGGACATGGAGAACCATCAGGACAGGYGGGGGGATGGAGTGAGGCCCCTGTCTCAGGGTGGGACTGCGGTCTGGGCTTGCAAGAGGAGGCATCGTCACCCCGGCTGCTGCTTGGGAGCACTGAGCATCCCTCCCTCCCTCCATCCCTCTCCCGCAGGCAGCTGCGGACACTTCCAGGGGTCCCGCTGGGCCCCACACCACTGTGCCCTGCACAGAGCACCCGGGCTCCCAGCTGGGGTGTCCTACCCAGCGCCTGGCCCTTGCAGCGCCAGCAGCGCCCCGCGCTGCAGCCGCCTCCAATCGCTGCCAGGCTGCACCCTCTGCTGGGACCTGGCGGCATCGGCGCAGCCGATGGGTGACACCGGCACCCCCGTGGTGACACCTCCGGGGCAGGGGGCGGCCGGGCCAGGGCCTGGGCTGCTCGTGGCAACGCTGCGGAGCTCAGGGGAGAACCCAGGTGTCCTGGCCCCAGCCGTGCCTGCCCCGAGCCCTCGTGCCCCTCGTGCTGGGAGCCCAGTGCCCTGGCACCAGCTCTCTGCTGCCGGCTCTCGCGCTCGTCCCGCTGCTGCCGGTGCTGCCAGGCTCTCTTTGGATGCCAGCCCGTGCTCAGCACCCCAAGGGAGAGGGCTGGGGTCCCTGGGGACTGGCTGGCTCAGGGCTGTGCCTTGCCTGGAGGCTGGATCCCAGTCGGATCCAGGGAGTGCCCAGACTCAGCAAGGACTGAGCAGGAGCAGCACAAGAAGTGCTGCCACCAAGAGATCCAGGATGTCATGGCCTGACAGACAGTTACAATCCTTCCCTTCCAGCCTGAGCAGCGTTATCCTGCCTGGGCTTTGTGGGGGGATAGAGCATATCCGCATGGCACGGTGCCATCCCAGGCCAGACTATTCCAGCTGCCCAGAGTGCCCCACATGTACAGCCCTGAGGGCACAGACCCCCAGCCTGGGCACCCATGTGTGTCCTGCCCGTGTGGAGGAGGACAGAGGGGGGCAGCTGCGGGCTGGGGGCCAGGMGAGCCCTGTGTCCCCCTCCGGAGCCATGGGCGCCCCAATGCTCACAGCCTCCTGCTTCGCCCTGGCACCTCCTTCCAGCCGGCGGCACCCTGGCAAAGGCTCTGGGCGCCTGGGAAAGGCRGCGTCCCTAATCCTCGGGCCAAGCGGGGACATTGTCGGGGGCAGAAAGGAAAGCGGCGCGTCAGGCCCTGTGCGCTTTGTGGCCCGAGCCGCCGCGCGAGCCCAGCGCAGCACTTCCATTGTGCGCGGCGCCGGGGGGGCCGCTCTCGCCACGCTGCCTAAGTGGAATGGACAGCGGGGGCCCCCCGGGCTGCTGACGCAGCGCCCCGCCGTTGTGCTCCATCGGCACTTCGCCGCCCGCCTATAAAGGCGCCGGGGCCGCGGCGCTGCCAGCACCGCCACCTCCGCCTCTGTGCCCTGCAGACCAAGTAAGTACCAGGCTGTGCGCCCCGAAGCGCCCCCACTGCAGAGACGCTCCCCTCGCCCCCCACACTGAGCCCCCCTGCCCGGTGCCACGGTCTCAGGGGACACTGCTGGAGGAGCGAGGTGGCCCCGCTGCCTGGCACGGAGAGCGTGGACGTGGCAAGTGAGCCCTGCCAGTGGAGGGGCCTTGGGGGACACTGCGCAGCGAGTCCACAGTGCCCGGGGAAGGGGAGGACGTGCCCCCATCCCGCAGGGCGGCGCGGGGCTGGCACCAGCGGCAGGCAGGGGATGCGGGAGGGCAGAGGCGGCCGGCGGGAGCCCCGGGTGACGCGTGGGCTCTGCCCGCAGCGGAGCGCTCCGCATGACCAGCGAACCAATGGACACCCTGGGGCAGTTCAAGATCACRGTGTGGGAGGAAGAGAGCTTCCAGGGCAAGCGCTGCGAGTTCCTCATGGAGTGCCCCAGCATCATGGAGCGCGGCTTCCGCAAGATCCGCTCCATCAAGGTGGAGTCGGGCCCGTAAGTGCCCCGCCGGCCTCGCGGCCCCGGCCACCCTCCTCCTGCAAGYCCCTCTGCTCCCGGGACACTAYTGGGAGYTGTTCAGGAGCTGGGACACCYGGGTCCTTGCTATCGTGCCCGCAGSGTCACCACACAGCCTCCTTCCCCATGCTGCTTATGCTGTGCCTCAGTTTCCCCACCTGCAAAGCAGAGAGGGGACGGCTGGGGAGCTGGGTGGCAAATTGGAGGCCCCGGCCCTGGGGAGATGGGACCTGCCACTAGTCAGAGCCCAGCTCTGTGACAGAGCCACAGGCAGGGMTGTCCCTGCCCTGTGCCCCAGGTCCCCGGGATGCATCCTGCATCCCGCATCCCTGAGCTCTTTCCTCCTTCCAGCTGGGTGGGCTTTGAGTACCCCGAGTACCAGGGGCAGCAATTTATCCTGGAGAAGGGYGACTATCCACGGTGGGAGGCCTGGAGTGGGAACAGCGGCTACAGGACCGAGCACCTCCTCTCCTTCCGACCCATCAAGTGCGCGGTGAGTCACGGGCGCCCGCGGGCACTGAGCTCCGGCAGCCGGAGCAGCCATCCCGCCTGCCCACACGAGACCAAGGGCTGGCACGGGGTGGATGGAGAGATGGGCGACGGGCAGAGGGATGCAGGGAGCGACACAGGTGCTGCAGGACAGAGCACAGGGTGGATGGAGTGATGGGTGGCATGCAGAGGGATGCAGGGTGCGACACAGGTGCTGCAGGACGGAGGCACAAGGGATGAGCAGAGCTGCTGTGGAAGCCAGAGGCTCAGTGGAGGAACCGTCTGACCCTCACTTCTCTGCAGCCAGGGGACTCTGAGATGCTCTTTAGGTCTAAAATTTAGCCTGCAACGCCGTCCCGACTGCTTTTGCAAACGGGCTGCTCTGTGCACTCGCGAGGCAGCTCGCGGGCTGGGCTCTCCGTGCCTCTGGCCGCAGCAAGCGCATCCGAGGGCGAGCAGAGGAGCTGCGGGCAGGTGCCGGGGGGCCGGTGGGGCTGTGGGGCTGTGGGGTCTGTGTCCTCCCCCGTGCCAGGGTGCCCGCACTGTTCCCATGCAGACACGGTCTCTATCACTCCATCTGCAGAGACACTGGTGCTTGCAGTACTGGCACGTCTGCGCCTCCGAGCGGGGTCCCCCCCCCAATTTTTAATAATCCCCAGGCAGATATGCTTGGGCTTTAATAAAGGGGCTGCGATAAGATCGCTCCTCACTGGCAGGACTGCTCCTCGGTGCAGATAGATGCGTGTGGGGGCTGGGCAGGGGGGGACAGTGCCGCATCGCTCATCAGTGTCCCAATGGTTAACCCCTCGGTGCCCAGCACCCAGCAGGGCCCCGCGGGGCTGGGGGGACCACTTGGACGGGGCTTTCAGGAGCTGGCCCCCAGAGGCAGCAGGGGTGCGGAGGCCGCAGACGTGGTCACTGTTGTCCTGGGCTCCTGCCCAGACCTGGTACCCCTGTGCACGAGGGGCCCATGATGAGCTGTGTCATCTGGGGGGGCCTGGGGTGTCCTGGTGCAGGGTATCAGGCCACCCCCATGTGCCCAAAGCCCTGCACCGAAGGAGCTCCCTTGGGTGCCTTGGCTTGTGCTCTGGCTCCATACATCCTTTGCCCTGGGGGGCAGGATCCTTGGGGCCGCACGGGGCTCCGGAGGGGAGGGAAGGGCCATGGGGGCAGTGGCTGAGCAACCTCCCACAGCCCAGTGCCCCCTACTCCTGCCACCCCTCTCCCCCGGAGCCTCCGGAGCCCCCGGAGCCCCAGAGCGGAGCGGGCTGCGGGGGCCCGCGGCGCTGAGCCCCCTCCCGCTGCTCCGGCAGAACCACAACGACAGCAAAGCCATCCTCTACGAGGCGGAGAACTTCCAGGGGCACAAGTTTGAGCTGAGCGATGACTACCCCTCGCTGCAGGCCATGGGCTGGGGCAACAAGGAGGTGGCATCCATCAAAGTCAACTCTGGAGCGTGAGTCCGGCCGGGGATGGGGGGCACCAGCACCCCACGGGATGGGGCACCCCAAMGGGAGGGGACTCTGCACTTGCCACCCCTGGCCGTGGGCACCTTCATCCTCCCAATACGGRGCAAAAAAGGAGGTGCAGAGGGATGGGGAAGGGAGGGGACAGTGGTGCGGAAAGGACGGCACGAGTGGGGGGCGGATTTGGCCTGGAGCTCTGAGGGGGGCTGTCCCTGCAGGTGGGTGGCGTACCAGTACCCAGGGTACAGGGGCTACCAGTACGTGCTGGAGCGGGACAGGCAGAACGGCGAGTTCAAGAAGTACAACGAATACAGCAGCCAGGCGCACACCAACCAGATCCAATCCATCCGCCGCATCCAGCACTGAGCAGGGGCCGCGCGCGCCCCCCAGCCTCCGGGGCCTGCTGTGCAATAGACCTGAATCCGGTAGCAAATAAAGGCATTTGTCAAAAAAAAAAAAAAAAAAAAAAAAAAAAGGATCATCTTCCTCCCTGCTCAGGGGTGGTAGGGCCTGGGTCACCAGGTGGGGCTGGAGCAGGATCATTCCTGCCCCATCCCTCTGTCTCCAGGCTCTAGGGAGCGATCCCAGCTCTCAGGCCCTGGAAAGGGGTTCTCCTCTTCCCTGGCTGGGGATGGATCCATGGTCTCCTCTTGCCTGAGAGGCCTGTGTGAGGGAATTATTCCCATCTCCTGAGGCCTGTGTGAGGGGGTTATTCCCATCCCCTCTGGAGCTGTCACCCACAGGGCTCCCAGKAGCCTCGAGGTGGCCACCTCCACCTCGGCCGAGCGCGCTGGTCCATGCACAGGGAGCAGGGGGATGTCCTGTCCACGGAGATGGGAACRCACTAGCCTTACTGGGCAGGGGTCACAGCAGAGAGGGAGCCGGGACTGGAGCCAGAGCTGGGGGGTCTGTGCCCTGGGCCCTTCCCTTTGGGATAAGCATGTGGCAGGGGCTCGGGCTGCTCCTGTCCCTGTGCCTGACACAAAACAGGGGCCCAGCATGGCAGGAGTGAGCAGAGCACAGGCTGAGAGAGGGGGAAGTATAAAGGAGTGTATTGCGGAGCATGGACCCACAGAGGGGACAGGGGGTGCAGGGAGCATTGGGGCAGAGGGGGACCTGCAGGGTGCCTAGGAGGGGCATTTAGGGGCACAACAAGGAGGTGCTGGGGCTGCCTGCTGGGGGTTCAGCTCCCTGCCCCCCAGCCTGGCCACGCCGGCACATCCGTGCCAGGATCCGGCTCCGGCTCCGCCTGGGCACACGCTTCCCGGAGCCCCACCCTGCCTCCCTCCTCCACCTCCAGCACCCTTTCCAGGCCTCCTCTTCCTCTCCCATTCCTCCCTGGGCATGGGCCCCCATTTGCCACCCCAGGGTGCTCCCTGAGCTCGGGATATCACCTCCAAAGGCGCAGGAGGGTGGAACAGCACCGTGCCGCTCAGGTGCCAGGCTCCTGGCTGCCCGTGTGCTGCAGGCCCCGCAGCTTTGGGACTGTGGGACTTTGCAGCACCTGGGGCTCTGCAAAGCCTGGGGCAGACCAGCTCCTGGCTCAGGGTGTGTGTGCATTGCACACGAGCGTGCACAAGCTCCCTACACTCCTCGTGCAGGCCCCTGTGCACCGTCCCCGTGCCACACTGCAGGCCATCCCTGCAGCCTGGTGCCACCCAGGCCACCCCCTGTCCCCCCGGCCCCTCGGAGCCCGCTGGCCCCACCCCAGCTCGGCCCCACTGCGCAGCCCAGCCTCTCCCCCTGCACAAACACATTCCTGCACACGGCCGGGGCCGCGCCAAGCCCAGGGCCACGTCAGCCCCGCTCTGCTCCGCTCCACACAGCTGGCACGCAGGTGAACTCGCCCCGGGCACCGGCCTGTGGGCTTGGGGTGGGGGGAGCCACGAGGGGCACAGCAAAGCCGAGGGGCTGGGTCRCCCTGCCGTGGGGGGTGAGGGTGCTGGGCGCGGGAGGACGAGGTCTCTGCAGCCTTGTGCAGCTGCCGGCTGGCTGCCCACGGAGCGAGGGCCCCATCCCCTGGAGCCCCCATCCCCTGGATGCCCCATGTACCCAGACCCTCATCCTCAGGTTCCCCTGTGGATCTGGGCCCCACCTCTGGATACACCCTGGGTCCCATCATGTGGGTCTGCCCTACCCCATGCCCCAGCATCCCTGTACACCCAGGTCCTTCTCCTCGGGCGCCCACAGCCCCTCACCCCCTAGCTTCCCCATGCACACAGGCTCCCCAGCAGATGGGTGCCCCACACTCCCTGCTCCCTTGCACTCCATGCCCCYGATGGCCCTTCCTCCCCAGGGACCTGGCAGTCCCCATCCCTAATGCCCCCCACAGCATCCCCAGCTCCCACAGCCCCATCTCTGCTTCTCCGGCCAAGCCCACGCTGCCAGCCCCACTCCAGGCTGCCGTGGGGTCCCCCCACATTGGATAGCACCGGCACAGCCACACGTGTCCCATGCCCGCTGCCAGGCAATAGAGCTGGGGAGGGGAGGACTCAGCAGGCTTGACCCCCTCCTCCCCTCACGCCGCCGTGTCCGGGGCTTGTTTTCCGTTGCCTGCGGTTTGTTGCAGTGACTCAGGCAGCGAAAGCAAGTCCGGGAGGCTGCGGAGAGGCTGCCGGGGAGGGCTGGCCACAGGCAGGGCCCGGGGCTGCGCGGCACCGGAAGCAGCGGGAACACCGGGGAGCGCGTGGCACTGGGAGCAGCGGGAGCACTGGGGACCGCGTGGCAMYGGGAGCAGCGGGAGCACTGGGGCTGCGATGCCCGTGGCACTGCCGGTTGCAGGGTGCCTAAGGAGCCCGGCACGCAGGGAAAGCTCCCCCAGGGCTGTGGCATCCAAACGGCCCCTCCGAGCAGGGAGAGAACTCGTGGAGCCACCACGGGCTCTGCTTCGGTCTCTGCTCCCACTGGCATCTGCTTGCTGGCCCCAGCGGAGAGGGGCAGCTTGGGCAGTGGGCCTGGAGCCAGGCCCAGCACCTGTGGGATCCACTGCTGTCCTAGAGCTGGGAGAGGCGCCTCTCCTGCAAAGAGCAGGACTCTCAACAGCACCAATTCCAAGCCCTTCATTCACATCTCCACAGGGCTCCCCTGCCAGGAGGAGCCTCCAGCCCCATTGGCAGCCCGTGGGGCAGAAGGAGGCAGGGTGACCTGGCAGAGGGATGGGACATGGCACTGGGACGCCCCAGCCCTGTGCCTGGAGCCCATGCACACGGTGCTGCTCCGCTGCAGGGTGCCCGGCTCCCTGTGCACGGTACAGCAGCGCGGAAGCTGCTTCTCATGCAGGGCACATTTAGGCTGCAATATAAATAATAACCATGGTTCTGGCAGGAGCACATCCTGGTTCTCATTGGATTCACACCTCGTGATGAACGCTTTGAACAGATTCTGCTTATCCTTTTGCTAGACGTCAGTGAAATGAAGCAGCACCAGGTTACTAATAGAAGAGCCGCTTGGTTGGTGTTTTCAAGGCATTGGATCCATGTTCTGCTCCAGTACCTTCAGTACCAGGTGTCTTCGGCCCAGGAAACTGTCCCGGTGCCCGACCCCATCCCCTCTCTAGTCCTGCTTGTCCACTCAGGAAGGGAGCAGGCTGGAAATCCCAGTGCCGCAACACGGTCAGACCTTACCTGTGGCGATGGGGACAGCTCTTGGAGGTGGCAGCTGCAGCTCTCTGCATGTCCAGAGAGCAGGGAGCAGCTTGTCACAGGGGGACCACGGTCCCTGGGGACAGACCTGTGGCCAGTTGCGTTTTTGGGAGCTGCATTTGCACCAGACACTTTCTCTGCAGAAAATCTGGTCCCGAATCACACCCCCTGTTTTCACCCTTCGTGACATTTGCAGTTTTATGGTTGCTGACAGATCCGCGCCAGTGCCAAGCTGGACTGCACAAGGCCAATGCTGGCGTTTTCAGGAGCCAGCATCGCACCACACAGGGCTGGAGCTGTGCGGACATGGGGCCAGGACAGGCTGCCAGCATCCCGGTCCGAAGGGACTGACAGACATCAGGCCATGTGGATTTGGGTAGGTGTGTGGGGCCAAACAGCTTGTACCCATCTTAATATGTACCCCTGGGCCTAAAAATGTTGGGTTAAAGGTAGGGACAGGCTAAGGATCCCAGAATGGAGACACATAATGTCCAMTTGGGCACCATGGAGTCAGGGAAGGCACAGATACGCGGTGTGCCCTAGTGCCCTGAACCCCTGGTGCAGCCCTGGCCCAGCCCCGAGCCCTGGCACTGCACAGGGACSTGGCACTGCCTGAGCAGGAGCCAAAGGACACGGTGGGGACCCCTCCTACCCATCCCGAGGCTCTGGAGCTGCAAAGAGACCCAGGCACCAGGGCTCCGAGAGCTGGGGGGATATAGAGGGGACCCTGCCTACCCAACCCAGAGCTCTGGACACTGCGAGGGGGCCCTAGGACTGAGGAGGGGACCCCACAGCTGGGCAGGGGGCAGGCAGGGCTCCCCATGGCCAGCAGCCCAAGCTGAGGCACGCGGGGCGGGGAGATGCAGGACCTGGGGCTGCTCGTGGTGCCGGGGCTGCTGTGCCCGCTGGCCGGCCGCGCTGCGCGGGGGGCCCGGGCGGTCTCCAGGCGCTGTCCGAGCGGCGCTCGCTCGCAGCCGGGATGGCAGCGCCGTGTTTGCGAAGAGTTAAGGAGGCGGAAGAGGCAGGAAGCGGCCCGAGCCGCTCTCCATAGAAACCCGCGGCCGTGATTAAAGTCTGATGTGGGCCCGATAGCAGGGGGGGGGCGTGGGGGGGGCAGCGCCCGCTTTAATTACAGTGGAGGAAATTGCTGGAGCCGGGGCCCCGAGCCCCTGCGAGTTGCCTGGAAACTCCCCCCCTCCCGCCTCCCCCGGCCCCTGCCCGTCCCCTGCCCGTCCCGCTGCCATTTATTCGCCATCAGCTGCTCCCTGATAAAGTGGAATAATAATAATAATAATAGGGGCAGGAATATTAAAACATGCAGCCCGCGGGCCGCCCCCACAGCTGCCATGAGACACGGTGCCGGAGCGGTGCCACTGCTGCTCAACATGTACCTGCCAGGTACGGGCGGACCCCCCCGGCCGCTGCCACTGCACCGCACAGCACCGCACAGCCCCAGCCCCCTGCCCTGCCCCACGGCGGCCCCGGGCCCTTCCTCCGCTCTGTCTCCCTCCAGCCTTCGCCTGTCCCCCCAGCTGTCCTCCTGTCTGCCCGCTCCCCAGCCTGCCACCCGCACACACCCATTGCTTCGTCCTTCCTTCCAGCCTTTCCTCCAGCTTTCCGCATGCAGGTACCCCTCCTTCTGTCCTTCCCTCTATCCTTCATCTGCCTACACTTTCCCTCTTCTTCCAGCCAGCTTTCCATCCTTCCAACTCCACCAGCTCCTCCTTTCGGCTTTCCTTCCACTTCTCATTCACCCACCAGTCCCCTGTCTCTCCATCCATCGTTTTTCCCACTTGTTCTTCAATGCTTCTTTCCAACCCTATTATCCATTATCACCTCCATTTACTGACCATTCCTTCCATCAATCCATTCTCCTACCTTTTAATCACTTACCTGTCCTTCCCTACTTTCTTCTACCTCCCATCCTTCTTATTCTTCACTGTCTTCTTGTCTCTGTCCATTCATTCCTCATTCTCTCCTTCCATCTGCCCACCCATCCTTTCTTTCTTCCACCTGTCTAAACTCTCCTTTCTCCATCTATCCACTCGCAACCAGCACTTCTTCCACATTCATCCTTCTGCCCACCTGTCCTCCCATCCATCCTTCCACCCATCCTTCCATCTATCCATCCTTCCAACCCACCCTCCTCATYGCCTTCTCCCCCTGCCCTGCACATCTCTTCCTCTGTCCCTCTCACTCCCCTATCCCAGCCCGCGGGAATTTCTATTCCTATTTAAGAGCTTCGCCGGCTCTGTCGGAAATCGGATTTCCTTTTTCCTGGACGCGTTTCCTGGCTCTGCAGCGGCGGGGCAGGCAAGGGGGAGCGGCCGGGGGCTGTGGGGAGCTGCTGCGGGCGGGCTCCGGGGAGTCGCTCCCGCCTGGCCCCGGCCCCACCACCCGTGCCCCCTTTTTTCTTTTTTTTTTTTTTTTTTTTTTTTTTTTTTTTTTTTTTCTTTTTTTTTTTTTTTTTTTTTTTTTTTTTGTTTTGTTTTGTTTTGTTTTGTTTTGTTTTGTTTTTCCTTTTTCCCGCAGATCCAGTGGGGGAAACTTTATTCAAAGACGGCAAGAGCCAGGCGTGGGGGTCCCTCAGCCCGGCCGTGCAGAAAGGTAAGAGCGCTCCCGCCCCGCAGCCCCCTGCCCGCTCCCCCGGGGGGCTCGGAGCGGAGACCCGCGGCGGGACGCGGCGCTCCCGGGAGCCGCCGTCGGGGCCACGCGTCCCGGCTCCGCGGCGCTCCCGAGCCGTGCGCCGTGTCCCGGGGCCCCGGGGCCTCGCGCTGCCGGTTCGCTCGGCACCGGCTCCGCCCCGGGAAGCGGCCGAGCCGCCGCGGCCGCTCCCGTCGCACCGGGGAGGCTCCGCGCGCGGCCGCTGTCGGGCGAGCCGCGGCACCGGGAGCGGCAGGACGCGGCTCTCGCGGGTCGGAGCGCGGCCCCGGCGGGGCGGGCGGTGCTCAGGCAGCACCGGCGGRTCCGAGGGGGAGGGAGCTGACAGCCAGCCCGGGAGCCGGGGAGCGACCCAGGCTCTGTGTCCTGGCTCAGAGAGGAAGATCCTCCAGCCGTCGGTGTGGGAAAGATATCCAGGGATCCGTGGGGTGTGTTGAGCCCCCCATGGAGGGGCTTGCCAGGGAGCACAGTGCAGCAGGACATCAGGCTCCAGGCGGAACCAGCACCATGCAGCCTGCCTGTCTGGCAAGGAGATGGGGCCAGGGGCTGCTCCAGGCAGCAACAGGGATATTCCGGGGCTATGCGGAAAGCTGGGACTGGAAGGGCCCTTGTGTCTCTGCACCATGGACCCTGCCATGGCCATACTCTGCACTGCATGAGATGGGGCTTTTCTGGTCATGGGAGCTTTCCCTGGGGAGCTGCAGAGTGTGGAGCACGGCACCCTGCAGCAGGCGAGTTGGAGCCTCGGCTCCCCACCAGGCAGCTGCCCCCTGCCCAGCCCCTGGGTGCCCTCCTTGCCTGTTGGGCAGCACACTTGAGCCTGCTGCAGCGATCCAGGGTGGAGGCTGGGATGAGGGCTGTGAATGTGCCATAAGGATGGGACACTCCCGTCCAAGGATGGCAGTCAGTGCAGAGAGGGACAGCAAAGCAGCAGTTGTATCAGATGGTGGAATAGGAGCTGCCTGGGTATTGGGCTGGGGTCCTTGCCTTGCCAGCCGCCTGGCTGTGCCAGGCTTGGAGGTGATGGCTCCCCAGCTGCAGGGGAAGGAGAGAGATGAAAACCAGGAGCAGTGAGTCACAGGCCAACTGGTAACTCCTCGAGTTTTTAAGCCCAGCACACACCTGTGCGTGGGGATGTGCGCCACTGACCTGAGAGACTAAATGGGTGCACTAGGTCTTGCATGCTGCACCAGTTCCCTTTACCTCCCTAAAGGAACCTGATAAGATTGGAGATGGGGCAGAGAGAGGCACTGCAGAGAGCAAAGGTGTGCGGTGATTCCCTGAGTCTTCCAAGACAAGAACCAGGGGACCATCAAATGGAAAGGCAGGTGCAAAGCAAGCAGGAGCAGTTATTTCCTCCAGCAAAACACAACTGAGCTGTGGCACCTTCTGCTGCGGTGGATGCTGAATATCTGCTTGGGACCCCGAGCACCATTAGAAGAGCTGCAGAAGGAAGCAGAGAGGGGGAGGAAATGCAAAGACAGTTGGTCTGTCCCAGGAAGTCCCTGTGCTGCAAAGGCTGGGGCTGGAACAGATTATAGGCAGTGGGTGCACCATGCCATGGAGCTCCCATTGGAGAGCATGGAGGAGCTAGCCGGGGGGCTGGCTCTGCCAGGCAAGCACGGCGCTGCTCTGCAGGGAAGTGGGGAGAGGCACAGACATGGCACTGAGCATCACCTGAAGGCCCAGGGTACTTTTCCTCCTGTGACTTCTGGCCAGGCTTGTCTGTTGTAACTAATTTGTTCAGTTAAGTACTGTGGATCACTTAAGTACTAATATGCATCCTCCTTTGGTGGATCCTGCTCGTACATCACCATGAGCATACCCAGGTGTGCTGAGCTCCTGTGTGTGAATGGCACCGTGGGRCATCTAGCTTGGACACTGCTCGGTCCCATCTGCAGGTGAAATGGCCATGGATGTCTCAGAGAGGATAGTTTTCCACTGGAAATAGGGAGCCAGTGCCTGATTCAACCCCACMGTAGGTCCTGCCAAGTGCTCCATGCCCTGGTGTCTCTTTCCCTGTACCTGCCCTGGCTCTGCCAACATGGCCCCCAGCTATCAGCTCACTGTGGAGAGATCCCTGCTGGTCATGGGATAGGCATTTCCAGGGATCCCCTGGAAATAGGCAGGGCACCTCTAGAGACCCTGGCGCAGCTTCAAGCAGAGGTGGCAGGGAGGAATCTAGGTGTTGGGGTGGGTCCAGGTGCTGCTATGATACCTCTTTTTTTGGGGCTGCACATCAAACAACCAGGTCAGAGCTACTTACTAAATCAACGAGCAGTATTGGGAATCGGTGCAGTGTGAACAAGTGCAGGAAGGACCTGTGGAGCCTGGATCAAGTCCCCAGGCAAGGCACCACTGCAAGCAGATTTGGTCTCTGGCCACTCCTGCCCCTGTGCAGYGGGTCCAGTTCTGCCTCTTTTCTCCCCTTGCTTTTTGGGCAGGATAGTGTCAAGGTGTCGCAAAGGAGACACAGCCTCACATCTTCTGTATCTCAAGACACAACAAGGGGCATCTRAGATATGGGGCTGGCAGAGGGCAACATAGCAGGGAGCACCATGTCCTGGCGGGAGCTTTAACCTCTTGGGGCATGGCCTTGCAGGCAGCGGGCAGATCCAGCTGTGGCAGTTCCTGCTGGAGCTGCTCTCGGACCGGGCCAACCTGAACTGCATCGCGTGGGAAGGCACCAACGGAGAATTCAAGCTGATCGACCCCGACGAGGTGGCACGCCGCTGGGGCGAGCGGAAGAGCAAGCCCAACATGAATTATGACAAGCTGAGCCGGGCCCTGCGCTACTACTACGACAAGAACATCATGACCAAGGTGCACGGCAAGCGCTACGCCTACAAGTTYGACTTCCACGGGCTGGCGCAGGTGTGCCAGCCGGCCGCCCCCGATCACACCCTCTACAAATTCCAGGGCAACCTGGCCCCGCTGCCCTTCTCGGGCATCTCCAAACTCAACCTCATGACCTCAGGGGTCACCCCGGCCGGCTTTTCCTACTGGCCTGGCTCCAGCCCCTCGCTCTACCCCGGGCACAGCCTGCAGCCCTCGGCCCCCTTCAGTGCCATGGCAGCCTCCCACCTCAACAACATGAACAACCACTACCATTAGAGGCACAGCCGCGCCAGGCGGCCCCTGCAGCCCTCGGCCCCCTTCAGTGCCATGGCAGCCTCCCACCTCAACAACATGAACAACCACTACCATTAGAGGCACAGCCGCGCCAGGCGGCCCTCCCCGTCCCTGGGAACAGGAACTGGGAACAGCCAGGCTGGGGGGCTCGCTGGGAGGAGGTGGGGGGTGGGATCCTGCCCTGCTCTCAGGTACCCGCTCCTTGATCTGGAGAGTGGCATGGGAGGAGAGGGGTGGCTGCAGGGTAGCCACGCTCGTTCCCCTGGGAAGGAGGTGGTCATAGAGCAGAAGGCACCTAAGCGAAGGGTGAGGAGGGATCCATGACCCCGAGAGTGGCAAGACGCCTCAAGCTGGGGTGTGAATAAAAGGAAAAAAACGTAGAACTCCCCCCAGTAGGGACCCATAACCCCCTTTTCTTTTGTAACATGCCCCTCACCCCATAAACCCCATCCATGCTTAGCTCTGCTCCCAGCCTGCGCCTGCCTTCCTGTCTCCCTATAGAGACCCTCATGGCAGCCTGAGCCCACAGGARGCAGGAGCTGGGGCACCACAACAGCTTTATCCATGGGTGACAGTCCCACCGGGCAGGGGCGGGAGGGAACCCTCCTTGCAGCCCTGCAATCCCTTGCTGCTCGTCTCCAAGCCCTTCCTTTCCTCCTGCGGGCTGTCATCCCTCCTGCACCTCCTGCCCCATCTCCGCTTCTGGAGCACGGGAGAAGCCCCTGGTCTGCAGAGCAGGTCCCCAGTGCCCCTCACCCCTGCCTGGGCGGATGTGCCCTGGGACAGAGGTGGCAGGGCAGGTGTGGGGACATTGCTTCTAGGGCAGAGCCTGGAGCCAGCAAGGGCTGCTCGACCCTCTCCCAAGTGCACGAGGCCCACGCTGCAGGACAGGACGGTCCCAGACATCCTGCACAGAGCCCTCGCCCTGCTGCTCTGTTCCAGACAAAGCTAATCCTCATTTTCCTGTGGCTTCAGCCACTTGCACGTGGAATTTGGTGGGAGACCCTCCAAGGACGGAGAACCCCCCCAGGCCAAGGTGCAAGGCTGGGAGGTGAGGGGGAGCAGGGGAAAGGCCAGCGCCAGGGCTGWGAGTCCCCATCCTCCAGCACAGATCTTGGGCCTGGTGGCCAGGAGTGGCCCAGGGGCAGAAGCGCTGGGCATGCCGGGCTCTGCGCAGGCTGGGGACAGTGATTTATCTTCAATAAAAAGGAGAGGTGCTGCGACCTACGTCTGCTTGTGTCCACAGTGAGTGGAGAGAGGAGGTGACACCGCTCAGGATTTTGCTGCCACTCGGAGCCGGCAGTCCCTGGTGTGGTGTCAGGGCAGGCCACAAGGTGTCCTCTGGTCCCAGGCAAGGCCACCAAGCCTGAGGATGTGCAGAGGGCGGGCAGCTCTCCAGGAGAGGACCAAGGGAAGAGAGCCAGGCTTTGCTATACACTGGAGGAAAAGCAAACCCTGCAGGGCCATCGAGGTCCCCTGCTGCCCCAGACAGAGGGGAAGAGCTAATTTGGGGGCAAGGAGACCTGCGGCCCAGCTCAAGGCTGTCCTGGGGCTCAGCCTGGCTCCTTGGAGGCTGGACACTGGTGCAAGATTGGGAGGAGTTCCCATTTGCACCGAGTGAGTCCCTGGGCTGGTGGTGCAGCAGCGTGGCCGCATGCACGCAGCGTCCCCAGAGCGAGTGACAGCAGCCAGGYCTCTGGACACAGGGGCTCGTCATGGGGATGTCTTGTGCCTGCTCTGTCCTTGGGGCAGTGCTCCCCATYCCATTCCCATCCGGGCTCTGGGGGCCAGGGCTGGGGCTAGACCTAAGGCAGGGCTGAGCTAGGGGTGTAGGGGGAGGAGAGCAGCGGGGGGCCCGGGGCTAGTGCCTCCGTGCTGCTTCCTCCACGTCCCTCTGTGGTCCAGTAGCTTTCACGGCCCTGGTGGCATCTGCTCGGCTGTGTCCTTGCTGCCCTAATCAGCTTAAGGGAGGGGGAGCTGATGTCGATGCCTTTTCCAGGGAGGGCTCAGGCTGCAGGGCAGGGGGCACTGGGGCTGATCCCACCAGGGGACTGGGAGCGGGGGACCGAGGCTGCGGCGGGGAAGGTCTCTCTCTTCCTCTCAAAGGGCCTGCACCTTGGCCAGCCTGGCTCCCGTGGGCTGCAGGAGGGGAAGGAGGAGAGCGYGGGTTACCCTGCACCAGAAGCAGCCATTGCTCAGACTGGAGCCCGGCTGTGCCTGGCCTTGCAAGGGCAAAGTGGGAGAGTCAGACACAGCTGGATTCGGGCACCACAGAGCCATGGCAGGGGGCTGTATCCCTGCTGAGAGAGCCTGCTTCAGGGCTTAGGTAACGGTGTGACGCAGGGCAGGATAGAGATTAAGAGATATGGGTCACTAGTAGGGCCTCCCTCCTCTCTCGTTCCTCCCATTCCTCTGCCAGGGACAGCACAGGGAAATCCCAGGTGAGCTTGGCTCCCTCTCATGCCCCTACCCTGGATCCCTGGAAGTTGCAGGGGGCAGTTGACCTCTCCAGAGAGGGAGGACCACCACATGCACCCRCTTCCTCCATGGCAGGATGCAACAGGCTGCAGCTCAGGGGTTCGCTCCCCCCGACATCTCCCACTGGAGACATCCCCCATGCTGTCCCCAGAACGGCACCCCAACTCCGCGAGCCAGCCCTGTGCTCCCTTGTGGCTGGGGGACGGCCATGCAGGACGGCAGAGATGCTCTCCCCTGCCAGCGGATGCAGCTGGTGTCACCATGGCAACCTGGGATGCTCCCATCCCCAGCAGGACCAGTCTCCCAGCAGCGGTGGGAGGGGAGGGGCGGGCAGAGGGGCACCCCCTGCCCCAAACCCCCTCTCCCCCCAACCCCAGGCCAACCCCCCCACCAGCAGYGCTGCTCCCTGCGGCCACCAGAGCCGGCAGCTCCGATGCGACTGCAGCAAATTCCTGCCAATGGGGGAGCRGGGCCGCGAGCCCGGCGCTGTGCCGGCTGCGAGGGGAGCACAGCCCCTGACGCTCAACAGGAGGGGAGGGCTCGACCTGGGGGGGTGCCAGGGGGTGCATAGGGAGGGCAGCTGGCAGGAGGGGTGCGCAGCAAAAGGGGGCTATGGGGATGGCCAGGTGCCAGGGCTCGGGGCAGTGCCCAGCTCTGCAAGCCGGAGCGCTCCCGCCGCCTGCCAGGAGCGGCTCAGGCACCAGGCGTCCTCAGGTGCCCTGCAGAGGGTGAGACCGTGGGTGGGGAACAAGGTTCCGAAAAGCCTCAGCCTGTGCTGAGCTGGGAACAGCCAGGGAGAACAGCACGTGGCCCATGTGCTGTCTTGTGATTTTTTTTTCTTTCCTCCCTATTTCATCTGTTTATGTATATGTATATTGCTACCTGGCTTCCTCTTCCCTCTGTTTAGCTGCTGAGAGGAACAGGATTGAGCTCAGCCTCCCGACAGGCAGCAGTGGGGCCCTTCCAGCTCCCCCGGACTCCAGCCATGCAGCGAGCAATCTGAGCGGGACTGGAGTAGCCCCTCTCCTATTTTCACAAAGCCCCGTTGCCACTTGCCTGATTTCTAATGCCGGGAAGAGCCTTTTCAGCACAGCCAGGTCATACCTGCCCTCAAGGACTCAGGGCTGTCTCCTTGCCCACCCCTTCCTCTCCAGCTCTCCCAGCTCCCACCTATTTTCTCCTCTCTGCATCCTCCCTCTCCCGGCTCCTCCGCTCACACCCCACCCCCAGGCTGCTGACTCACATCCTCTCTCCAGACGCCACCTTTCCTTGGCCTGGCTCCCTGCAAAGCGCTTCGTGACGCGGTGGGGACGTGCAGGTGCAGGGAGCCGGGCTCTGAGCCCCAGTGAGGAGCTGCTGCGGGGAGCCGGCCACGCTGCTCCTGGAGGAGGTTCTTCACGCGCCACAGAAGCGCTGGGGCTTGGGGATCACCAGAGGCTCCCTGGAGATCTGACAACCRCCAGGACTACCAGGAAGGAGGGCGGATGGCAGCTCCAGCACCAGCCCTTCTCCACAACAGGAGGGAGCTGGGGTCTCGCACACCCCRTGCAGAGCCTCACCTTGCTCCAGTTGCTGTCCCAGTTACCTCCGACGCATTTGGTCTCCAAGACGGCTGCACCAGGGTGTGTCTCATGGCCCCAGCACCRTTGCAGTCCTTGCAGCAGCAGCCCCAGAGCACTGGCAGGCCAAGCTGGTCCCTGCTTTGGCCAGGAATGAAGGGGACAGCTTTCCTCCTCAGTGTCAATGCATCCAGCACAGCTTGACTTTCCTTTCCCTCTCAACCCTGTCAGCTGAAGGGAAGCTCAGCCCCAGGAGGGCAGGCAGAGCCCCTGGGACAGAGAGGCAGCTACTCAAGCCCATCTGCAAGAGCAAGGCAAGCCAAAGACAGCTGCTGCACCAGSAGTGGAGGGGCTTCCCTCAGCCAGCTGGCACCCAGGGCCCCCCATCCCCAGCCCGTTGCAGCCCGGGCTCCAGCTCCCTGCCCTACTRCCAGGGTAGCTGCTAGGGACTCCTCTCCCCTGGTCCTGGATGTAGGTGGGAGGAGATTTGTGCACTTCCAGTCTCTTTCCCGCTCACCGCCCTTCCCAGGCACAGGGATGTGCTGGATGGAGCCCCAGCCCGTGGCCCTGCTGCCACCTGCTGTCACCACCCCCAGCCTGGGCACAGAGCTGGGAGGCAGCTACCTCTGTCTTCCTCCTCTGAGGAGGGGCTCTGGGCTGTGAGGCTGTGCCTGGCACCCAAGCATTGATATGGGATCTAGATCCAGGCTGTGGCCTGTACCCTTCCCATCTGGAGCCTCTCTCCTGCTCCCAAAGCCTCCCCAGGGCTGGCACAGTGTGGAAGAGCTGATCTCAGCCCTGCCTCAGGGCATCCGCCCTGCATGTGTCCAGGAGGATGGGGTTGGAGACCAGCCTGGACTCGGTGTGGACTCCGGTCCTGCACAAGGGCAGGGAACGGTTCCTTAGTGCTCCCAGCTGCAGCACAGAGACCTTGGGCTGGGCCCTGCGGAGGGCACGGGCTGGGMGGCAGGGAGGGCTGGATTAATGCGCTAATGCCAGATTAAGCACTAATACGGGGCTTCTGATGAGGGAGCAGCACCCAGTTCAGCCCCAGCCTGGTGCTGGGCTCTCCCCAAAGCAGCCTCCCATCGATGTCCCTGGGACGCTGCCCGGCTGTCCCACAGGGAGCTTACTCCTTGRGGGTACCACAAGAAGCGGCACTAGGAGCTCAGCACACAGTAGCCCCAAGCCTGGCCCTCAGCTGGCAGGGGGATGGATGCAGCACTCCATCTCACTGTGTCTCCCCTCTACCCAACACAACCCACCTGCAGCTSTGACTGATGTACCTGGTGGAGCAGGGAAGGAACCAGGAAGGAGATCCAGCAAATAGCCCCCCAGGCACCAGAGCAGCAGCAGCCAGAAGCTATGACAGAAATAGCATCCAGGCTACTCATGCAGAAGAAGAAGGAGAGATGTCTTGCTTGTCCATATGTCTTGAGGAACGTTGTCCTCACACAGGTTTCCTGCTGCTTTTCCGCCAGGAGGAGGCAGGGCTTGCTGGGCCAGCCTGGCACAGCCATTCAGTGCCATGGTCTGTGTGCATGGCACATGAAGCAATGTCTGTGTGCACTGAGAGCAGAGCAGCAGGACAGGGGGGTCCCACAASCAGCTGTGTCCACCTGCCCCAGTAAATCATGGGGTGTAGCAGCCAGGGCTGCTTCTGCGAGGCACAGTGGGCAGAGAGGGATGCTAGAGGAAGGAGCTGGGAACCTCCACCAAGGGCCGGGGCAGTGGACTTGGCTCTGCTGAGTGACCTTCACCCCCAGACTTGATGCAACTTCAGCATCCCTGGCAGGCCACATGCTCCTGGGCTGTGCAGCTGAGAGAGGAAAGGGCTGCCCTGTTCTTGTAGCTCCTCAGGGAGCACTGGGCAGCTGCACTGATCACAGGTGTGCTGACAGGCTCTATCCATTCCCCACTGCTGTCCTGCAGCTTCTAGCCTGCCAAGCTTGTGCTGTGGGATAAATCCTGGCTCCCGTGGTATCATACAGTGGGAATGAGCTCTAGCAGGGTAAAGCAGTAAGGTTTTAAGAGCAGGAAACACCAAATTCACAATTAACTCCCCATCCAYGCGTGCTCTGTCCCCGCTCCTCCCCTTTACCTTCACGGCGCCCAGGCGAAGTGGGGTCRGTGCTCCTGGCAGCTCCTCCTAGCAACTGCATGAGTCCCTCTGGGACACGGGAAAACCAGACATCTCTTCCCTCAGCAAAGCTCTGGCTGAGCCAGTAATGCATATTTAAATGCATGGGAGCATCCGAGCTCGTCTCTCATTCCTTGACATTTCCAGAGACTCCAAGCTGTCTTCAATTACCAGTCAGCAATTAGCTCTTCCTAAATCCCCCAATGATGCCTAGCACTCCTAATCAATGAAAGGAGGGAAAGGACACAGCCTCTCTGCAGATGGGAGCATTTTAAAAGGCAGGGCTGCKGTGCTAGAAGGACTCTGAAAGTGCCCCTCGGGGTCTCTTTAGGGTGGGAATAGTCTGTGGATTTTGGTAGATCTTTCATCTCTGGAGGAGGAAGAGAGACTCTAAAGGCAGAAGACTCCCATCACGAAGGGGTGGTAGCCAGGGGATATCTGCAAATATCCCTGGCTTGGGATGTGGACAGCTGGCACCAATGGATAGTAGCACCAATGGGTGCTACCCTGCAGTGCTGCTGACTGAGGTCCCCTCTTGTGAGGCTGTGACTTGCTGCTGCTTCTCATTGCACCTCAGCACCGTCGTCTGCAAAATGCTGGTAGTGAAGAGCCAAAGATCTCCTTTGCAGCACTACAGACATTTTAGAGGTCCAGTTCCACCTCTGTTTAAACCAAGCGAAGTCAGACCTGCTCTATGGTGCCTTCCCTCATAAGGATCCATCCAAATGCATGAGGAGAGTGAGTGGGTTTTGGCCCACCCAGCTCCCAGACCAGATTGCCTCAAGGTCACATCAATGGCAAGGAAGAACCAAGAACACACACTGAAGACAGGGAGGATGGAGCATCACAGGCCTCTGTGGGTTTATGCACTGGGTTTAGACACAGAAGGGCCTTGCACAGCACCCTGCCAGATCTGACTCCGTCACAGGGACATCTGTGCTGTCTTCCTGGCTGCACAGCTTTGCCTGAATGAGCCAGATTGGGCCTAATTAGCAGCTCTGCTGATGCACACAAAGGTGGAGAATCCAGCTTACCCTCCATGACCTGCAGAGCCAGCACAGCTCTTCCTGGCCGATGGGAGCCTGCCTGTCTGCTTCAGAGGGGCTGAGGAGCACTGAACATGGGCTCCAGCAGGAGAGCACGTGCTGCACACCCTGCCAAAGACACCCCAGGAAACTCAGTAGCTGGAGGCAGAGCAACCGGCTAGGAGAATTGCAAAGCCTCCCCCTTCTCCACCCCACTCCCTGGGGTGTGCTGAAGCACTGGGCTGGTAACGGGGCTAGCAACAAAGCTGCTGCAGCCTGCTGCTGTGCTGGTGAAGCCTGCCAGGCCCTACAGAGCAGGAACAGGGAGGAAGGAGGCTGGGGATGGGGTGGCTTTAGGCAGAAGAGCAAAGCTGACATAGCAGGGAGGACCCCAGTGTAGATCAGTGCAGCAGGCAGACAGCAGGCACTTGGAGCTGTAATGGAGGAGGCAAGGGGAGCTCACAAGGCAGCTGAGAGGCATCCAGGTAGATCTGGACTGGTCTCATGCACCGAGAACAATAATAAATAAATATATACATAATAAAAAAAATAATAAAAATAAAATAATAATAAAAAAGCTTTGACCCCCAGCTCAACTTGGGAGGCTGATTGTCAGAGAGGGTCCCTCTCATGCCCCCATGCCCCTTGGGGGAGGAGGAGGACATGACTCAGACCCCCCTCATTCAAAAAAAAAAAAAAAAAAAAAAAAAAGGTCCCCCTCGCACCCCACCGCCCGCCAAGTTCATGGAGCCACCACAAGGCCCATCTAGGCCACCTCTTTATTCTCCAGTGAAGCAAAGCAAGAGGAGAGGACCTCCCTCCCCCCGAACCCAGCAGCGCCCTGCCCTCCCCTCCCCTCGGGCCTCCCTCACCACAGCGCCCATGGGGGGGCAGCGGGGCCACACGCCGGCTGGGGAGGGGGTTGCACCTCGCCGGCCCCCAGAGCACCCCGGGGACCCCTCACCGGGCACGGAGGCAGCAGCCGCGGGGCGGGGGCCGGGCGGCCGCGAACAAAGGGGCGCGGGGGGGCCGGGCGCGGGG